GGTATAACGCGGATATGTCACCTGCAACCTTCGCATTTCACACTCCGATCGGAGAGAATCTATTTTCCTCTTTGGGCGGCTGAATTACTCTTTCCATGGTCAAGTGTAGAATTGTACTATTCGTGACTGGTTTGACTGCCGACTTGTTGTTTCATTGCGCTTTGAATACCCCAGCTATGGTATAGTGCGTGCTTGCTTTCCCCGCACTTTCTCTATGTTTGAGGGAATAGAGGAGTCAGAGTGGACATTGGAATGACCCTGTGTATTATTACTGGACATGGAAATTGCTAATTCCTGTCTATGTTTAGTCGCACGGATGTATATATATATATTTCTATATACCTATCTACTGGAACCACCAAACATCGGATAAGATAACATTATCAAGCTACAACTTTCCCAGTCGCATCTTGATTGAATTTTGTTCTCTCACCTTTTGTCTAGAGACCCTAAACGGTCGCCATGGCTCCTCCCATCTCTGTCGAAAGCGTCCCCAGCCTGGACGCCTTCATGCCTGGCAAGAATGACACTTACACACCGAGTTTTGCTCCCTTCAACCCCGCTCAGCATTTAGCGTATTCCCCTCCCTCCAAGGTCCTGACCATGAAGGACCTTGCTCTAGAACCGACTGTCCTGTCCCCCATCGCAACAACCGAGCCTTTCCCGCTTCTCTCCCAGGAGGCAATTCTTCGTTATCGCCAAGACTTATTCAGCAAAGATGTCCTGGACAACTGCCTCCATCACACTCGCCCTGGATCTGTCCAGCTTCGAGGCATGGCACCGCGTTACTCCGCTTTCATCCACGATCTATGGCATTCCCCCGAAGTTCTCAGGATTGTGAGCGATGTTGCTGGTGTCCAACTCGTTCCTGCCATGGACTATGAGATCAGCCACACCAATGTCCAGCTTGGACCAGGTGGTCTCGATGCGGTTCGGAAGACACCCGTTGTACCTCCTGAAGCTACTGAAGAGGCTATCAAGAACTCTGAGGCCGAAAAGGGCCAGGTCAGAGCTGTCACTGATCAATCAAAGCCTATTATTGAGTGGCACAAGGACTCGCATCCTTGGGTCTGCGTTGTTATGCTCTCGGATGCTCGTCATATGACTGGTGGCGAGACTGAGTTGATGAAGGGAGATGGTACCACCGTAAAGGTGAAGGCGCCGCAAATGGTAAGCATTAACGAAAGATGAAATACGTCTTTCAAGCCTGACGTTTACAAATTGCAGGGCTGCGCCGTCCTTCTCCAGGGCCGTTACATCTCCCATACCGCCGCTCCCGTCGAAAACATGCCCGAGCGCGTCACAGTCGTCACCTCATTTCGCCCCAAGAACCCGCTCCTTGTCGACGATACGACCAACGCCAACGTTAAAAACAAGTCTCATTTGACCGAGCTATACTACCAGTGGACCACCTACCGATTGGAGGTCATGGCTCATCGTGCTCGTAGTGCTTTGACCGAGTTGCAGGAGAGGTATGCGAAGAACGTTGCCGAGTCGGATCCTGAGGGAAAGCCTGGTCTCTGCAGAGTTGAGACAGTGAGTTCGGAGGATATTAACAAGTGGTGTGTGGAGATGATCAAGTATCTTCAGGATACCACCAGTGAGATGGGACTGCCTGGAAACAAGGCCTAGAAGATTGATGGGTTATTGAGTTTAGTTAGTACTGCTGCTAGCAGCCTATCCTCGATATGGAATGCAATCTTTAGAAGAGATAAGCGATGTGGTAATGATCTTGTAGAATGTCGAGTCTTCACTGTAGTAAATACGCTTGTGTTGTTCGGTGATAACGCGAAATCTGATGATATGATTTGTTTTGATTGTTTTAAGCAGGCAATACCTTCTAGCTTTTAAGCCTTTGCAAATAAAAGGACCCTTTAGCTGAGGCATTTTGTGCTATTCCACTTGGGGCATTAGCTCCATATCTATGTCTCCACACCAAATCACTGGGTCCAAAGATAACTTGCTTTTCTCCGCCCGCCCTGCCGATGTCAAAGTCGAGGTCGTGCCACGGTCACACCAAGAGCCGCTCCTCTATAGAGAGATGAGCTTCAAGTCTTCGAATAAAAGATCGAGAGATGGCTGTTGGACATGCAGAAGAAGGTACAGTCTGAGCCCGTCAGATTCGCTTGCTTACTTACACACCCTAGACGAAAGAAGTGCGATAGCGCAGTCCCCGTATGCGAGAATTGCCAAAGACTGGGTCTTGACTGTGACAGGGGCACTCAGCTTGTATGGGAAGATGATGCGCGGAGAGACGGTATGAGAAGAAGAGGTCCCTTACCTAGGAAGTCGACATCTGAGAAAGCCAGAGGGATACCAGTGTCCACTCCCGGCAGCTCACCGTCCAATGCTCTCATGCTCTTGCCAACGCCGTCGCCTTCGCTTGGTTCACTCAATACGGTGTCGGCTGAGGACTTCCGACTGTCCCCCAGTTTGTCTGACTGGTCGTCCCATCTTGACCCACTGGACAAGCAAATCCTGGACCGCTATACGAAGTTCTTCTCGACAACTTACCCAACCTGCAAAGATGCCTCTAACCCTTTTCTCAAAGTTCTGATACCACTGGCGATGAGACATCGAACTGTTCTCGATGCCATGCTTGCCCTCAGTTGTGTTCAGAGCTGGGAGAACGGACAATTCACAATGCGTGCCCCCATGCTACGGTATAGAGCCAAGGCAATTAGAGGATGCAGCGACCTCGTCAGGAAAGTCATGTCAAACCCAGAGGCCCGCGAAGACGCATTCAGCCAAGGCCAGAATACCTTGATTCCAGTCATCACCACACGAACCACGGAGATCGTTGAAAACGATGGTATCATCCCGCTACTGGCAACATCCGTTCTACTTATGCTCTATGAGAAACTCCACGGAGAGGGTAAAGAAAACGGAACAAGCCACTTGCAGCTATTCGCTCAGCTCTTCCCGTCCCAGCTCTTCAGCAACATTTTGGACAGACTTACGCAAACTTCCAAGACGGGTTATCAGACCGACGCGATGCTTTTTCTTTCCAATTCATTCCTATATAATGATCTTGTACGGTCTACGTCACTGCGAACCACGACGTTATCAGCATTCTACTATGAGAGACCATCATCACCCTCAATATCGCATCGATTTTATTTCCCCACTATCATAGCTCGCATAGGCGCCAATGATATGTTAGTATCAGATGCCGATATAATTGCCTGGGACGGAACGCTCAGTTGGCTACCGAGTCTGGCCCTTCAATTCTCAGGTCGGAGCGAACAAACCGACTTGCGACTACTTTTAGACTCAAGTTTGATATATGGCCCCACCTTTCAAAAGCTCGAGTCCTTCGTGTGTATTAACACATGGAGCGAAGAGAAGCTGATTTCTGAGCTCTACAGAGTGGCAGCTCTGGTCTACAGAAGACAGAAGCAGCCAGATAAGTCCTCTTCTGCCATGGGAAGCCTCCCAGGATGGGCCATGGAAATTTTACGTCTCATCCCGCCGAGCTCACCGTATGGGACAGCTCTTCTCTGGCCAATCGCCCTTGTTGGCCCGGCATTAACCGATTTGGAACACCGAGAATACGTATTTAGTCGTCTGCAGATGTTGGAGCGGCAGTGCAAGATAAAGACGTATGCTAATATCGCTGAGCATTTGGTCAACCAATGGGGATGTCATGATAATGGCAGCCCTTATAAAAGTCATTTAGCGTATTTGTTCGGATAAATCACCACTCAATACTTCAGTTCATCTTGATTAGTAGTTTTGGTTAATCATTACTACAGCACAATTTTAAGAAAATAAATATAATAATACGATAAACTGTTAAAAGGAGACCAAAGCCGCTATAGATCGCAAAAACGCCGCTCTCGTCACCCACCGTCTCCCACCACAAGTGTAGCATTACAAACGTTAAGAAACAAAACATACAACACCGGGTATTCGCTGATCGTCACCGACTCAACTACTAATCCGGCCCTCATTAGCTTATCTAAGGGAGAGCGGACGGGATCCCGAGTTTTCCAATGGGTATGGTCGTATGTGAAGGTTTTTGGAGACTTGCGGATTTATGATGCAAGAAAGGCCAGCAGGTAGAGCTGTACATCTCAATCTATGCAATCAAAATGACATTAAAACAGTGGTTAAGACTTGAGGGGAATCCGGCTCTTTGGACATACTACACATTATATCGACTATCGCTATTTCTGACTGAGATAGTGAAGTACGGCTTAACACCATGGCGTCTCAATAAACACCAACTCCGAACAGGTCATAATGTCTACCTAAGTCATCTTGGACTTGAGAGCCGGAGATGCTAGCCACGAACTCGGTGTTCATCTTCCCAGCTCCTTGCCCCGACCACCTCGTGGCAAACGCCACCACCGAACATTTTGTGGCGAATAGCGGAACATATCTGGCACTGATGACAGGAAACTTGACCCCACCCAACGCTTACTCGCGCTTCCGTGCGTGATACCTGCTAAAAGTCTTCCGTAGGTCGCCGGAGGTGCTCCACCACGAGAAAGTAGTGAGCCAGCCGGCTAACTTGACCATTATCTTGGAGTTACATGTATTGTCACCTAGTCTCAATCAAATGAGCAGAATATCATGATTAGTACCACTGTACTATGTGATATTTTAAAAGAAAAAAAAAACACTGAAAAAAACTCGATAGATGGGGTCACTGTCTTCAGTCAAGGTGTGGTAGCGATTTGACAACAGTTGACATCGGAGAAGATTTTTAACCGCGAGGTTTTTAACCACGAGTAGAGGAGACACTCAATAAAAGCGCAGTGCTTTTGAAAGTAGAGTGGGAAGAAGTTTGAGTATGTACGCTCACTGCGGAAGGTTGTTGTTGATTAAAACTCATGAGGTTGCCTTGGAGAGGCATCTGCTCTGACCGTGAACCAATGAGAGTGCAACCTCCTCAACTACACTCTTGTCTCTAACACTCCCGTCCTTGATTGCCAACTGCCAACTGCGTCGATGTTTTTTCAGTGAAGGTTGAATCAACTCACAGACATGATCGGTCAAGGAAAGCTGATGAAAACCTTGATCTCGTCATGAGCATTGAAACGAGCGTAGTAGGCCGGAACATCCTCAATCGAGATACTCGCCGAAGCGATGAAATGAGGGCTGGCCTTGCCGCTGCTGATAAGCTCCACAAGCATCGGCGCGTACACCTTGGGATCGACGGGGCCAGCTTGGAACTTCAAGCGTTTACCAAAGAAGTCGGACAGAGGGAACTCGGCGATGGGAGAAAATGTGGACCCTAGAGGAGAGCCGGGCGAGTCTGGTTGCGCCATGTATACTCCAACTTGACCAATGCCTCCGCCGACATGGGTGAGATTGACCATCTGATTCAGGATAATGTTGGGTTGATGCTCTAGAGTCGAGTTGAGAGCCTCGATGCCAACGCAGTCGACGGAGCGCATGACCCCGTTCGGTTCGGAAGCCATGATCTGGGCGACGGGGTCGCTGGCTGCGAAGTTGATGGGAATTGCGCCAATTGAAGCAGCGCGGTCGAGCCTGGCTTGGACGTGGTCGATCACATAGACCTTCGAGGCGCCGCGAAGAGTGGCCGAGTAGGCAGCCATGAGTCCGACTGGGCCAGCGCCAAAGACTGCCACCGTATCGCCTGTTTCAAAGCCTGAAAAGTCAAGACTTGCCCAACCTGTGGCGAAGATGTCGGAGATGGTTAGGTAGTCTTGCTCGATGGTGGTGTTCGTTGTCTCCCGTGTGAGCGGGATAGGGATTAAATTAGAGTCGGCGAATCGGACTCTGGCGTACTCGGCTAATTCATACTGTATGTCAGTCTCGAAAAGTGCCATGGTAATGAATCAAAAGCTTTCTTTGATGAAAGCCATGGAGATTTGTCTTGAGGGGGATGATGACTTACACTGGAGACCATCTGTGACAACAGCTCCATTACCGTAGAAATCCAAACCAGTGGGCTCCATCTCAAGCCGACCGTGGTTCACAGTGTCAGGGATGATGACGTAGTCACCAACTTCGAGCCCAGAGACTGCACTTCCAAGCTCGGAGATGTAGCCAATGGCCTCATGTCCCATGTTCCACGGGGGAGCGCCTCCCTGGTAGCCGCGATAGACGTGTAGGTCAGAACCACATAGAGCAGAAGTCGTGATACGGACTACGGCGTCGGTCTGGTTGAGAATGGTGGGCATGGGAATATTTTCCACAGTCATCTCACCGGGGACACCGCGGTACATGACGCCGCGCATGAAAGCGCCCAAGGTGTTGTTCAGAGCCATAGCGAGGAATATGAAATGTGACTGCTTGAGGTGAATGAGGAAGTAAGCTCTCCTCTGTCCCATCTAGGGATGCCATCTTTATATGTTGAGGGGCTTGGCTCTTAAATCTCTTCGTTGCTCCATTTCCTCGATACAAGGCTCTTCTGGCCAATATGGAAGGTATTCCGCAGCGCCTTGGCAATCGAGGCGGTGTTTTTGTCCGCGGTCTCGGCCACTGCTCCGGCATACGTCAGGTTTTGCATGGAGACAACCACAAACTCGCGGGCCGACTCAGGTGCTTGACCTTCCCTAGTGCACATAGATAGCCTAGTCGCATTGGAGAATCCGCTTCCTACCACAACCCGGGCTTGGCCTGGGCCCTGGGACCAAGCCAGCGTCAGCCTTTGAGTTATCTTAAGTCCGGCCAATTAATTGATATTTTCCGAGTACCTTGCTACTGAAGTACTGTGACCGCATGAAGACTAGGATTACAGCCTTTTTTTATGTGGTCAATCTCCCTTTGAGGAAGTTCCTGAACCAGTTGAGTTACATTCCCAAGTCGTCATCTTTTCAAATTCGTCCTATCTACCTTGGTCGGAAAATCCCGGCCGCGAAGCAAATGAGCATGCCCAATCCATAGTCAGTCATGTCAAATAGCCTCTTATTACTGAGGCAAGAATACTGGTTGCATCACGTAAAAAATGTGTTTGACTTGAAGAAGCCTGATGATTATTTTTTTGGGGGTGGCATTAGCTCTAGTCTCATCCGCTATCTTTCAAAGTGCTCACGCTTTCTCCGACGTGGAAGTCGATAGATACACAATCAGAGCAGAACGATTCGACCCAGAAATTCTTCCTATCCATTAGACAAACAAACTCATGCCCTTGTATACCTAAGGTAGACTGCACACCTACAAAATACTCCTCATATACGGGGAAATAGATGACACGATGAATGGAAGTGGAAGGAGAGGCACTTGAGGAATGGCCGAAAAACAAAAGGGTGCTCAGAACTGAATTGATTGGTGCCACTTATTTTCGAACAAAGTCACACCGCTGGGTCTTGCAAAGGATCGGGGATGAGTCTGCAATTTCATCGTGTAAAATCTTCTAATCTTGGCGAGAGGCTTTCTACTTATCTATATGTGCGATATCTCGGTGTCAAGAGCCACAACTTCAGTGATTAAGGAAAGTCCACCTCATTCCGATGAAATTGCCTTGGGGGCTTCAACCCAGTCAAACTTGCCCATCAGATTCGTCAGCCACACATCCCCGGGGTGGTAAGCTCCTTTGGGGGCGCCTCCAAAAAGGGAGGTGCCGCTCAGGAAAGTATGAGGGAATCCAGGATCGAACTCGTGAGAACCCTCAATCTCGCGAATATCATCCTCGGTAAGAGCGAGACCAAGTCCCTTGATGTTGCTTTCAATGTGACCTAGCTTCCGTCCACCCACAATAGGGAAGACAAATGGGGCCTTGTGCATGACGTAGGCGACTGCAACGTCGGGAAGCGACGCGCCCTTGGCGTTGGCGACCTTTTCCAAAGCCTTGGAAACCTTCTTATCGTGCTCCGAAACTTTGTTCTGTCTGCCCGGATTGTGCTTCTCGCGCTCCTTGAAGCCCTCCTCCGTCTGGAAGCGGCCGGCGTTGAGGACGCCCCAAGGGCAAAGACCCATGCCTTCGTCCAGGCACATGGGGATAATATCCCGCTCAAAGTCGCGCAGGGAAGCGTTCCAGTTGCCTTGGTAGACGACGAATTGGCGAAGTCCTGAGAGACGGGCGTACTGATTTGCCTTGGCTACCACCCAGGCTGGGGTGTCTGAAATGCCCAAGTAGTGGACTTGGCCAGAAGAGACCAAATCATTGAGTGAGTGCATGACCTCAGGAATGGAGGCAGAATAGTCCCACCAGTGAAGATACAGAATGTCTATGTAGGTCGTTTGGAGGGCCTTCAAAGACCGGGCGACGGAGTGCTTCAACGACTTTGTGCTGTTGCCGCCGTAATTGGATTGAAGCTTTGACTTGTCATGGAGCTGGTAGGCACTGCTGTACTTGGTGGCGAGCACAATGTCGTCGCGATTGCCTCGCGATGCGAGCCATTCGCCGACCCATTCCTCAGACTGGCCGGCCTGGTAATTGTTTGCGGTATCGATGAAGTTACCGCCCTGAGAGTAATAGTGATCCATGATCTCGAACGCGGTCTCCTTGGTACACTCGCCCATTGTGGCTTTCTGCTTCTCTCCAAAGTTCATGGCGCCAAGAGCGAGGGGGGACACGCGAACGGCCGCCGTCGGGGAAAGCTGGCGATGCCGAGCCAGGTAGGTGTCTAGGGGTTGTTGAAGTTGAGGGGCCATATTGGATGGTTTTGTGTGTTCAAAAAGTAAAGAATTTGATGGGATTGTTTCCAAAACAACCGGTTGGGGCTGGTAAAATGAATGATGTGAGGTTTAGAGTGTATCACATATGTTATAGAAGAGCTGTCAGCAGTACTTATAACATTCGCTTTCATGACAGAGCACACTATCCTGTCATGACACTGAGCAGGTTTCCCACAACAAGATTTAGCGTGCTGCTCCAACATCGGCATTTGGCAGCGCAGTGACTAGAATTAGATGCACACCATCGATCAACAGCGTTCGGAATTAAGTTGGAGAAGTCCTAACGCATGGAGCGTACAACTGACGTCTCGCTGATATCGGTTGAAAAGGGCGAGGAATGTGGTAGCATGCTGATGTTGTGACTACATGATTGCGGGTTTGGGGCACGGAGATGGCAAGTCGATTGGGCAGCAAGACATGATCCGATTCCGAGCTGCAGACGGAGATTGCTTCACCTTGGTGTGAGGAGGTGGACGGTAGTCCATTTCTGGCAGTGGACATTAGTTTCCTTGACAATATGCCCCTACAAACCGAAGTAAAGAGTCATAAGCTACCCAAAAGCGACGTCAGCAAAGAGGTTTGAACAGACTCGGATTTAAGAATGATGCTGTGATTTGACGGCTGTATGTTTAGTCGGGAAATGGAATATGCTTCTTTGACGTTGATGGTCTACCTCAGCCTCGAAGCGAAGGTCCACTTGATTCATGCACACTACTGCAGCCTGCTGACGCGGTACGTACCGCTGTTTGATCACTATTACCCCAACTTCTCGTCCTGCAACCTGCTGACGCAGATGATTCAGCAACTGTAGACACCTTGGAATCCTTGTGACATCAGAGCGTTTCTGAAATCACTTATTGAGGTAAGCGTTACGGAAGAGAAACTTAGCTTAGGAAGAGTTTTAGTTCGGCTATCGCCTCAAAGATAGTTTAGGTGTATCGATTACCAATGTGAGTTCAAGTATCGTTGATACTCACACGCGTAACCTCTAATTCGGTGCTGTGTTCACTATTGCTCGCTTGAGATGTAGGCAAAACTTGTAAATGAGAACATTGAGATAAATGCACCGAATGATATTCGCCTAGTTCAAACACTAGTTGTGTAGGATATCATGACAGAAAGATGCGGGAATATCTTTCGAGGAAGATCTCATTTGCTTGCTCGCTGGAAAGAGAATTGAAACCTTCCAACTCCTAATTAGTCTAATCTCGAATGCCGCAGGTAGATGTAGTTCTGGAACAGCAAGGCAATATGCCATTGATCCAGCAGTGACAAAGTTGCCCAAGTCTGCTTGGTGGCAATCGCAAACAAGTGACAAATGTCTTTATCAAAGTGTCCTGAAGTACTGACCGTCTATGTGACAGCGGTGCCCTATGTTTTCCAAGTACTGATCCTCAACTCGTATATCACCAAGATTTAGAGCTATTCCAAGTCATAAGAGTGCAAGTGAAATGCATAATGAAGTATTGAAATTTATCGGATATGAGTAAGTTTTATTTATCAATTCGATATGTCTATGCAATGCTGAGAGATGATATTACGCCTACACTCCATCCCATTAATTATAATGCGAAATCAAACACCTTGCTTAGTGCAACCTCTTTCAAGAGTATGAGATGTACAAGCCATTATCGGCATCATCTTGCATGAACACCCGACCATCTTGTCCATTGTTAAGGTTGACTGCCAACTCCACAACGATTCTCTCCTCACACTTCACACTCGGGCCGCCGTGTGTCGCAGGGGCGGAGAATTCAGGCTGGTCCCAGAATGTGAAATCCATGCCCGCCGAGAATTCGCTGCCTTCTTGAAACGGCGCGATGGTCGTGGGGTTGATCAGAACGTTGCTTCCCTTGGTCCATGTTGGGAAGCCTTCGGACTTGAGCTGGCGCGAAGAGACGAGGCCGTTGCCGTCGACGCGGAACACACGGGTTTCAATTGGTCCCTGGCGCCAGCCGAGAGAGCAAGTCGTAGCCGAAGACGGAATGCCTGTGAAAATAACGACCTGGCGGGTGATGTTGGTGTGGAGGTCGAGATGCGGGACGTTGTCTGTGGGGTGGTTCGGTTGCGTGGCGGACTGATAGACGTTGAAGTGTTGAGGATGAGCGATTATGCCTGGTGTTAAGGCTGGGGTGCACTCGCGAGCTGTGTGGGGTAGTGACGCAGCGAGAGAAATGATGCTGCCCAGGGCGAGGATGAGCTTGGAAGACATTGTATTGCGTTGGAGCCAAGCCTGAATAATAGTACGAAGTATGTGCTGGGCAGGTTGGAGCAAGTTGTGATGCGACGAAACTCTGAATTAGAGAAGCTAGTTTGGAAATGAACTGTTGAGATAGTGGTCGTGGTGGATAATCTGGAAAAGGGCCGTGGCTTTATGTATCACTGAAAGGATGACCAGCGCTCTCACGATGGCCGCATGATTGCTATGCTCGGTGAGGCTGGAGCTGGAGCTAAGGTGGGCTTCCGTTCGAAGAGTGTCACGACGGGCCTAGCCTGTATTACGGCTTGCGGCAGAGCTCGAACAAGCCTCGATGCAGACCTCAGTAAGTCCGCCAAGTGGTCCGCAGCAATGGACACAAGACCGAAATGTCATCCGGATAAGCATAAACATAGGCTTCCGTCAATGGTGTCCAACTTCGCCTCGCAGAAGCTCTGGATGAACCACAGCGGGATCCGATGAACTTCGGCTGATCTCGGTGAAGCACGTGCTGGAAATGAAGCGAAGGGAAAGTGCAAGGCTAAGTGCGAGTCGGAGCACAGCATACATACAAAGTTGGAGAAGGATTAGGATCTAAATTTAGTCGTCAGCATTAGCGTGTGAAGGATTCAGTGGATGGCTTGGTGAGCGGCTGAGGCTTAGCACACAAGCTTGGTAGAGCAGACGCATAGTGGTCTGGAACCTGATTGAATTGAATCAAGTACCTTATGACATTACATGTATATGAACCATGTGAGACTGGCAAAATATTAGTGCCATTTTATGTCTCGTTTTCTTTAGGGAGAACGACACCTCTTGTTAACTTCAATGCTCAAGTTGTGGCATTTGTAATTGAGCAAATGGAGTGGAAGCAGATGTCGTACTGGCGGCATCCTTTGCCTTAGTCATCACACGCTAGGTGATGGAAGCGGTAGCTGCTATCACTCAGGTAGCAATCTCTCACCGATCAACAATTGGAGGTATGCCTCTACACTTATGATACATTGGTCGGGAATTTCGGATGAACTGTTTCAAACTTGGAGGAGGTCACACTATTCTCTCCCGAGACTTTGCTCGCATTATCCCATCTCCGACTTCAAGTGAGGAGCAGAGAGAAAACCAATGCCCCTGTTTTACCCCGCTTCTGACTATTATATCACACAATGTCACAAACACCTCAGCTTCTACTGGACAGCCCTACCCTCATTGAATGCGCTTTTTGCCAGGGCCTTGGATTAAATAGAATTAGTCGAGATCATGGCTCGAATCTGTCGAATCTTGTCATAGTTGACTTACGTCAAGTGCATAGCCGTTCCAGTGATGGGTGCGTTGGATGCTCCATCATTGAAAAGGCATTGGCACACTTTTCTCCCGAATGGAGAAACTTTACGACTCGCTCTAAGTGTGAGAAATGTCGGCCAGAAGCCTTTAGACTGTGTAGGACAGGCGACTGCGCCAAGTCGGCGTTTGCTCTGCTTCCATTGGTGGAAACGATAGAGCTGTGCTACCCATTTCACATACTTGATGATCTAGCCGCTGGGCCTGAAAGGAACCTTGAGCTGTTCATTCAAAAAGGCAATGGTCTTGAATGCCTAGAAAAAGAGATGTCACCGCTAACAAAATGGTCAGGGCAGCCACTCAATGTTGAAGAAACCATTCTCCTGACTCAAGGGCGAAGTTCTGAACAGAGCTGGCGGGGGAGGCTGCAACAAGCAAATTCATGGATCCATCATTGCCTCAATAACCATCAATGCAGTGGTGGATTAGCAGCCAAAACATTTCAAAAAGACTATGAAAATGAAGTAGGTGTCAAAAATGATAAACATCCAGAAAAGGGTGAAAGCTAGGGCGCGAGTCTTCGAGAAACTTCATTTCTTGAGGTTCACCGCCAGATCTCAAAATTACCTCGAAGAGTCCTTGATCTTCGAGACTTTGGTTCAGAGAAAAGGCTGCGTCTCATCAATTCCATGGCGGATTGTGGTATTTATGCTTGCCTGAGCTATACATGGGGTCGAAAGAATACGGGGGTGACGACCACACAGAATCTTCATGATCGTCTAGACAACCTCCCGTTCGACAATCTTCCCCAAATGTATAAGGACGCCGTCACGGTTGCTGCATTTCTGAAAATTCCCTTTCTATGGATTGATGGCCTGTGTATCATCCAAGGCGATGCCGACTTCAAGGACTGGGCGGAGCAGTCTTCACAGATGGCAGAAATCTACGGAAACGCAGTTCTGGTGATCGTGGCTGCTGATTCCAACAGTGTTGAGGAAGGCTTCCTCTCTACACCAAAGCTGCCACAAGAACTCGTCAAATTCCAGTCTTCGGCATTGGGAAGTCTGGAGAATAGGAGCGAAGGAACTGGCTTGAGCGTGTTTGCCAGAGCTATGCTGGACCACAGTTGGCTTGGCTGGTCCACATTGGCGGAACCAAAATCCCACGGGACACTGAGCCGCAGCTGGTGTTTCCAAGAGGAAGTCCTTGCATCTCGACTCCTCACCTTTTTTGGAGGCGAGATGAACTTCCAATGTCTTGAAGACGAATACCGATGCGAATGTGCATACCCCGCCGCACCCCTGGGCCTTGTCACGATCAAGGAGCTGTACGAGCCTCGCTTGGAACTAGGCGATATGGAAACTCCAAATTGGATGTGGCAGAGTACCGTGGAGCACTACACCCGACGGAAGCTGACGGTGGCCACCGATAGGCTTACTGCACTATCTGGAGTCGCCCGGGTCGTGCAGTCAAGTCTCCGCACAAAGTACGCTGCCGGTCACTGGCTAGATCGCGACTTTCTGTGCAGCTTGTGTTGGGCGCCTGTGAGAAACAGGGAAACCGAGCGCACCTATTCACAAGATTACGTTGCTCCGTCGTGGTCTTGGGTTGCCCATAACGGACCTATCACCATGTGAATCCCTTATTGCGGTTCGGAAGAGCCAGTCACTCCGCGCTTCCTCAGTAAAACCGTTGTCCGCAATGTCGGCATCATCCCAGCAACAGAAGATGAAACGGCCGCGGTGATTGGGGGAGGTATAACTGTTAGCGGCGTCTTTCTCGACATTTCGGTGCTAATGACATCACGAGATCAATCCGCAGGCGTCATGGTAAGAAGCTCAGAGAAAGTCCCATTTTACTTCGATCGACCAACGGAAACAGTGAGGGACACTGACAAGTACTTTTGTTGGATTGTTTGCACATTGCCGAGCCCGTCTGTCAGTAAGAAGAGATCTGAAACATACTGTTTGATGGTACTCCGCACTATGCCTGGCGGACCTGCTCATTTTTGCGAGCGCGTAGGTTTCACCGACTTTGATGGAACAGCTTCCGACCCTTCTATGAAGTTTTTTAAGGGGTTTAGAGACTCCATTAGAACTGCCGTAATAATCTGATGGGTTTACATCCGAAATAGGGGTCTTGGTCAAGAGTCATATACCAAATTCAACTTTTGAGGTTGAATGGGTGCTTGAGCTGTCACTCTCGCATCTCTGCAATATTCGCTATTATGGGATTCGTTGGAAAAAGCGTTCTTGTCAGGCAGGGCCCACCATCTCTTCAGCTATCGATACTCTTTACGGAGTAGCGAAGGATGATTTTGCCTTGAGTGATTTAGTTGAAACCCGGGTAGCTACTAGATATCAGACCCGAGTTATGGGAACAGAACTCCAGCACCATGTAGGAGAACAAGTGCACTCTCGGGATTCGACTCAGGGGAACGTTCGCTTAAGACTTGGCAGCTGAACGGGACGGAGGTGACATTTATTAATACCCGATGTTTCCATCCCATCTCGAATTCTTCCAGGGCACGGATGACGTACAAACCACCAATTAAGGAACATGGGCTTGTGCTGGAGTTTCAGATGGTCGATTTCCCGGAATTCCCTGTAATCCCTCCCGCTTGCCCACAAAACGTTGCTCTCAAGCGTCAGAGCGGTAGGCAGAAAAAAAGGGGGAGCTTTGCCAAAGCCGGGGCACTCAACCAATCAGCTTCATGTAGAGGCGGATTACTGATACCTTGAAACTCTCGGTAAAGTCCTGGGTGTATCAATGACTTCAATTGCAACAACGAAATTGTAGAAAATGCAAAAAGACGAAGTGTGTTGGAGATGAATAATAATTCAGTAACCATGGTTGTGGCAACTGAATCTCGTCATGTGATTTAATCCAGACGTGCGTTTGGTCATTTTCTCTTAGAGCTATCCCTCCCCGTCCATTTCCTGTCTCGTTCAAGAAAGACTGAGATAAGCCCACAGAGCTTCGCACACCAGCTCAGCCTCACTAGAAGCGGAAATAGAAAGTACAAAGTGGCGCGTCAAGGATCATGTCCCGTGGCGGAGGCGGTTCAGTAAGGGGCTCCGGGGGGCACCTATGCCATTTTAGCCTACATCACCCCGCTCGGAGCGGAGGAAGCAAGGAAGCTTTTGCCTAGACCATCCCACCGGATTCTGCCGCCGCGTATGCTGTGGTGTACCGTACGCGTGGTTCATTCATTGAGCCGATCCTGATATTTTGAGCTTTCTATTGTTGAGCACATGGGGGTTCGCGAGACCTCCTATACTGTAGAGCGATAGAAGCCTGCATTGAAAAAGTAATTGTGACAGAAAATTTGGGCTTTTCCGACGTCACATCGCTGTTGGTCAAATCTTTTTACGGATCTTGCCTGCCAATGAGACAGGAACCAGTAGCCAAGTCCACAGAACACTCTAGGGAACTTCCTGAACAATGTAATGCATATTCATTGGAGTAGCTCCGCAATAGCCTTATGAGATTCCAGCCGTGAAGGGTATCATATGAAAATCGGCGTAAGACGTCCGGTATGGCCGAGTGGCCGGAACGGTGGGGGCACGGCCTCTTCCGAGGCTGGACCCGGTGGACGGGTGAACGTGACGTGACGGGCTGTCCGCAAAAAACTTCGAGGGGGGAAAGAAAGGAAAATCCCGCTCCGCCTTGCCCTACGGATGCCCGATGCCTGTGCGTTTTTCCAGGGTTCGATTCGGCTCGTGCATGTTCATCCCACATTCCGAAACGAATTTTGCTGGTTGACGTAGGTGCCATCTAGGATGGACCTCATTCTAGAACAGACGAAAAAGGCACTGCCGTTGGCGATTACAAGGCCAATGCCTGTTTCTTCTTCCAGACTCCCACCAACCGCGCGGTTGCATAAGAAAGTTGTGATGATAGATGAGCAACTACGTACACAGGTGGAGTCTCAGCCTCAGTGGCCTGAGCCGCGATATGGGATGATGTGGATGGATGTTGGTGGTTTTGTTGGTCAAGAAGCTTTTTTTTACCAGGTTTTCAGGCGGGGAGATCACGTTGTGCCACGGATCTCCCGGACAGAGATTCATCAAAGTTGGCTCACTTTGCTCTAGATAAATAAGGAACTTGAATCCCGCTAGAGAACTTCTGCTCAGACACTCATCACTTCTAACTCAAAGTAAAAGTAATCACTCTTACCTCAGTCCGTCACTACTACAAGCTATTTACAGCTTCAAACAATCGTTCAGCAACTACTCCCAAAAATATCACGAATATGCAGCACATCGGAAGCCTTCTTTTGGCCTTTGCCACCCTCACTGCGGCAGTTCCAGGACTTGCTCCGGCTAGCGTGAGGTCTGCTAAATCTTCTCACGTTCGCCGCGCCGACACCAGCTCTTTCCAGATCTACGCTTATGGCACTGGAATCGGTGGCCTGGCATTGTTCACTGCTGGAGGTAAGCAATTCCCCCGACTGCCAGTTCGACTTAAGCTTTGTCTACAAAACTGTAAACTGCCGGTCGATACCACCTGAAGATGGTCCCGAGTCTTCACCTAGTGTCTCTTCAGATGCAGGAACTTTACCGCCAGTTCGGCTCGGCCTAGGCCCCAACTGCCGAGACATACCCTTAGACTAACACTCATTTGCACAGGCGATGCCTACTTTGGAGACTACACTCAGTTCAACGACTCCAATGCCGCCCCAGTAATCTGTAAGTACCAGCTACCCCACTTTCCTTTCTCGGTGAATGCGGGACTGACCGGACGATCGATGACAGTCACCCCTGAAGAAGATGATACCGAGACATGGCTTGGAGCCCCTAACACCACCGCTGTGACTACCGCTCCTACCTGGTCCAACCTGACCTTCACCATCCCGACCGCCGACTCCGGCGTGCACAATGTTGCTTTCCTCAATAGCAGCGCGTCCACAACTGGCCGTAAGACCAGCGGTTTCAGCTTTTACGGCAACTTTGTGCTGGTCGAGGCTGAGGATGGTAGCTTTGAGTCTTGGTGGTATGCTACCGCCACCGACATCGATGGCATCTACAACCTGAGGTGGAATGAGACCGGCGATGACACCGATGACAAGATCATCTTGAACTTGAGAAGGACTGCTCCTTCCAACTAGGCTCTCAGCCATCTTTGGATTCTGTGTTTATCTGGTACAAGTCAGGCTGGTGTTATCTTGCGGTTTGATGAATTTTAGCTCCGATCGCAAAGGTAATCACTTCAAGGAGTGAAGCGGGTTTGGGCCTAGCAATGGCGCAAAAAGGTGGAGTGTTTAGGATGGTGCAGATAGAACTTCAAATGTTTTCTACAGTAAATTTATGACTCTCATTGAGATGATCTTTGGTGTTCCATAATTTGAAGGCCTCTAGTGAAAACCAGACAGCGCGTTGTATTAATGCAGGCGAAGTAAATCTTCAACCTGTAAGGAGACAATTACCTCCAGATCGTGATGACGAATTACCTTCTGCCAGACCTTCTAATTCCCCAAGTACGTAGAGATATCACGACGGCTTCGGCCTCGTGGTCCCGGAAGTGGTTTGTTGTCGCCCTCGTCATATCGATATGCCCCACCCCCACAACCCGACGTGAATTCTTCACCCATGTTCTTGCCGAATCGGTCACGACATAACCCCCTTTGCCGCACACCTCTTTCCACCTCCATCCTGAAGGATCTGACTATTTGGCGACTGTGACTGAATCTTACTAGGGCTTTTGTTGTCATTTCATAGAGGGCGGCGCATGTGCTTTCTCCAATGGATATAGCCAGTATTCAACCCGCTTTGTATAAGGCTTTTGTGAGAGAGCGAATATCAGACACACGCCACCGCAGCCAGCACGCATAACGTTCGCCCGCCTCTATTGTCCTTGCCTAGGGAGGCGTGACACAAAGATGCAAAGACATCCAGTGTGTCTACCAAGCTTACCAGTACTCTCGATGAAGGTGACTATTCCTTCAAGTGCAAGATAACTTTCAAATGTATATTGATGTCTCTTACATCCCTAGTTTTGAGTTCGAGAAAATGAAAGAAATAAAACATGTATGACTAAAACTGGCTATTGCTTCAAAAAAAAATGTATTCACGTGGTTCGCAATGGGACGGCCAAGACAAATTTGATACGCTAGGCACCCTCAAGGTAGATTATGGATTCCACCGCTTCTTTTTGACCTCAAAGTTGAAGTTTTACTCTGTATACCAATCTGTATCTTTTAAGTGAACATCCGCCATACATCTTTTACATTGACCATAGATAGAACAAGAGCTTTTATCAGTACAGATGCATCAATCTCAACACGAACCCTCCGTCTTTCCGGTCACAACTCGTTAGAATCCACTCCACTCTCTTCATTCCCAAGTACATCTGTTTCTTTGTGTGCTGCAGCAACTTGCTGAGCAATCTCGGTCCAAAATCCACACACCTTCTTGGTGTTCTGGTCGTCTGACTGATCTAGTAGGAATGCAGGCTGGCCGATAGGCGCATACACTGTGAGCACATTCTTCAGTTGGTCTCCATTACTACAATCAGCAACGGGCCACTTTGGCGGATCTCCCTTGAGTACATGCGGCATCGGGAGCGTATTCGGGTCGCCACCTGACAGAGCAAAAGATGCGAAGTAGGTCTGGTATGCCTGAGCCACGTGCGTATT